GCGATTCTGTTCACTTTTTCTTCCTGCAGAAAAAGACACTCATCAGGTGTATGTGGCATCGAGCTTTCCCCTATGTCCAGGACCACCGTCATTTGATTATGTTGTGGTGTGAGGAAGTCCGGTGTTGCTACAATCCAGTGCAGTTCCTTGATATTTCCATATTCCATCTTTACTATTTCCTTAACGCAGCCGTGCATTCCTTCCGGTACGTTGTCGAATTGAATCCAGAAGTGCTTTTTGATAAAGTCCTGCCTGTATTTGAAGGGTGTTTGCTGATAAGCTGTGGCCTTTTTCCATGGGTGTACTGTGACTACTGCTGAGTTGCAGGTAAAACATTTGTTTGTTAAGAAAGCAGCCAGAGTCGCGTCCATGCATAACAACATAATGACGTTTCTTGATCTTGGGTGGAAGGAGACTTTAGGATTCTTTCCTTGGACTGGTTCCAAGCTTTTCAATTTCTCCCATATCCACTTCAATTTCGCCTGTCTGTCCAGTTCCTGACTTTTTTTCGTGAAGGTGAAAAGAACGGTGTGCTTTTTGTGGAGCTCTTCCGATTTGGGGGTTAATTCGTTGGGGTATTCGTAGATCACGATCTCTTCCTTGTTGTTTCCCCCATGGTCAATGAGTTTGGTGGTTTTGATGAGAGGTGTCCTTGTCTGTTCTGGGAGCCAGTTTTGCGTTTCAATTCCCATGCCCTCCATCTTTGTGATTGATAGTGGTTCGAGCATAGGTTGCTTGATACTTGTGCTGGTCTGCTATGAGGGAACAGTTGAGAAAGTGTTCCAACGGGGAGAGCTTAGGCAACAGGGTGAGTGAGTGAGTAGGCGCTTGGGAGGTTGGTTGTATGTCAAGAAGGTGATCGTGAAGGTGAATGAGAGGTACACTTGATAGGAGAGAGCTTAAATCGAGGAAAGAAGGATTGGTTAGTGGGTGGGGGTGCTAGGGGGGAAGAGAGTGGGTAGGTGGCTCGGCAGTGAGGGAAGGAGGGCTAGGAGGCTAAAACAGGATTGGTAAGTAGGGGAGAGATGGGTCAACAAATTTAACGAGAGACGGGTTGGGATTGGAGTGGGGAGGGATTGGGATAGGAGCGGGATGAGATCGGGATGGGGGTGGGATGGGAGCAAGATGGGGGCGGGGTAGGAGCGGAATGGGAGCGGGATAGGAGCGGGATGGGAGTGAGATAGGAACGGGATGGGAGCGGGATAGGAGCGGGATAGGAGCGGGAAAGGAGCTAGGTGGGAGCGGTATGGGGGCTGGATGGAAGCGGAGTGGGATTGGGAAGGAGGCGGGATAGGATCGGGATGGGATCGGGATAAGAGCGGGATAGAAGCGGGATGGGAGCCGGATGGGAGCGGTGTAAGAGCGGGATGGGAGCTGGATGGGAGCGAACTGGGATTAAGAAGGAGGTGGGATAGGATGGAGATGGGAGAGTGGTAGGAGCAGAACGGGATTGGTATGGGATCAGGATGGAGGATTTGATAAGGGTAGGATCGGGATGTGGGACTGGATCAGTGAGGGGGTGGGATGTGAGTGGGATAGGCTTGTGATGGGGGCAGGATGAGAGTGGTATTGGATCAGGGTGGGATCGGGATGGGAGCGGGAAGGGGGCTGCTTGGTGCGGGATGGGATCGAAATAGGAACGGGCTGGGATCGGGATGGGAGTGGGATGTGAGTTGGGTGGGATCGGGATGGATACGGGATGGTAGCAGGATGAGAACGGGTTGGGAACGGGATGGGATCGGGATGGGGGTGGGATAGGATCAGGGTGGGGGCAGGGTGGAGGTGGGAGGGGATCGGGATAGTAGCAGGATAGGGGCGGGAAGGGAGCCGGATGGGAGCGGATGGGAGCTGGATGGGAGCGAAGTGGGATCGGGAAGGAGGTGGGATAGGATCGGGGTGGGAGAGTGGTAGGAGCAGAACGGGATCGGTATGGGATCAGGATGAAGGCGGATTTGATAAGGGTAGATCGGGATTTAAGAGGGGTTGGGATGTGGGTGGGCTAGGCTTGTGATGGGGGCGGGATAGGAGTGGTATTGGATCAGGGAGGGATCGGGATAGGAGCGAGATGGGGGCTGCTTGGTGCAGGATGGGATCGAAATAGGAACGGGCTGGGATCGGGATGGGAGTGGGATGTGAGTTGGGTGGGATCGGGATGGATACGGGATGGAGGCGGGATGAGAACAGGGTGGGAACGGGATGGGGGTGGGATAAGATCGGGGTGGGGACGGGATGGGGGTGGGAGGGGATCGGGATGGGAGTGGTCCGGGAGCTGCATGGTAGCGGGGTGGGAGCGGGACGGGATCGGAACGGGAGCTGGACGGGAGTGGGGGGAAACAGGATGGGGGGGGGATGGGGACGGGATGGAGATGGAGCGGAATGGAATCGGGGAGAGGCAGAGATGGGGACTTGGGTAGGAACGGAATTGGGACCGGGAGGGGGTATGTTGGGATGGTATCGGTGTGGGGACGGGTTGGACTTCGGGGTTAGATGGGAATATTTCAGACTTCAGGATCTGGGCTTCGGATTCGAGTGCGTAGTAAGGGACTGGTGGGAGGGGGCGAAACGTGAGGAGAAGAAGAAGGGGAGGAAGAAGAAGCGGAAGAGAAGAGAAGGAAACTAGAGGAGAAAAAAGGAAGAAGAGAAGGAAGAAGATGAAGAGAGGAAAAAGAAAGGAGCAGAATAAGAAGAAGGGTGACGGAAAAATTAGTAGGAGAGCTGTCGTCGATTACTTATCCTTGCAGCGAAGATACCGTCGATGACTGTAATGGCGCGACACAGCTGCAAGGATGGCTAGCGCAGCAATGGTGGCGTGGCGTCACGGCGGTAAACGTGCTGATGACAAGGAAGCCGTAACCCAATGATGACGATTGCGGTAATCAATGGACTGACGTCGCACGGCGATAACGATCACGATTGTGAACAAGACTCGACGACGACTATGGCATTGACCGTCGTTGTCCCTTTCTGCGCTTTTACCTTTCCCCTCTCTTGTTTTCTTCACCTGCTCTTGCTTCTTGTCACTCCCGCTCTCTCCCTTTCTCTCGTTCTTCCTCTTGCTCCCGTTCGCGCTTTCTCTGATCGTCACTGCAGAGTAGTTTCTCTCTCTCTCTCTCTCTCTCTCTCTCTCTCTCTCTCTCTCTCTGTTACATGCCCAGTTGGGCGATGTACATACAAAACCAAGGATCCGCAATGTGATGAAAAGGACTGAATGGACAATGCAGTGCAAGTAGAATCTCAACAAACAATGTGCATTCCGATACATACAAAATGGTGCTTTATAGCGCAGGGAAGACTTAGATACAAATCCTGACCTGACCGAGACTGGCCCCTTTCATGTAGTACAAGATAGCGAAGCAGAATGCTAGAATACTAATGACTAGCCCAATCAATGTTTCAACGCAGACCAAACATACATCATGCTCATCACAAGGTGTGAAGGAGCCTGGCGCTATTACACAGGAAGGAAGCGCCAGGTCCAGACATACACAGACGAAGAGGAGGGGATCAGACGAAGAGGAGGGGGAGAGATGGGAGTGTCATCAACACCAAGTCTTTGTCACAAGTCCCATATAATCCATCGTTGAAATGTCTAAAGCCCAAAAGTCGAGTCTGGATCCAATGTCACCAAGCTCTCTCTCTCTCTTTTTCTCGTAGTCTGCTGATGCAGAGAAGTTAGATAATGAGAGGGTGAGAGGGAGATGGTGGACTGAAAAGAGGAAGAAGAAGAACTCTCTCTCTCTCACGAGCCAGGTACTAACCTGTGAAGTTGGCGCTGTGCTGCAGGTACCTCGAAGACGAAGCTGGAGCAACGGCGCTGCAGGTAGGAACTCCTGGCCTCCGCCCAATCTCTCTCTCTCTAGTACTATCCTAGCTTTGGCGCCCAGCACTGAAGACTACAACTACCTGCTGGCGCCCAGCGCTGAAGACTAATGCTAACGCTACTACTACTCCTGCAGCGCTCCCTCCAGAGTGCTGCTGCCGAATCCGGAAGACTACTGACTGCCTCCTGCCTCCTGCCTGCCTGGACTGCACGTGAAGTGCCTGGCCAGTCCCTATGAACTACCCCCTGCCTGTAGGGCGGGCTAGTCTTATATAGTGCTGGCCCGTCCAGGAGGCTGCTCTTGCCAATGCCTAAACGTGCTAGACCCTGAGGAAGCTTCCGGGAAGTTTCCAGGTAGCTTCTGGCTAAAGCCTGAGGGCCTATAGGCCCTTGTTTTAAGGCTGTCAAGCTGAAACGACACGGGGCCTGTAGGCTCTGGTTTTCAGGCTGTCAGGCTGAAACAGACAAGGGGCCTGTAGGCCCTGGTTTTCAGGCTGTCAGGCTGAAACAGACACGGGGCCTATAGGCCC